ACCACATTAGTTGTCACTCCCAGGTCTACTGCCCTAGCATACACCACGTCACCTTCATCATCCCTCACACAAAAGCCTAGGGAGCTAGGTCCAGGATTGCCTTTTGAGGCTCCATCAGTATTACATTTGTACCAACCATGACAAGGAAACTCCCATGTTACTCTTGTAGTGATCAATATAGGTTTATATCCTTCAAAGTATTGAATCATGTCTGGCCATAACAATGGAATATTAGGCATCCAAGCATACCTCACCCTTTCCAGTTGATGAAATGTCCTATTTATCTCATGAATCACCCTATTTGTGGACACTGAACCCCCATGTTTACCTGCATTTCTTCTTTTCCAAAGCTCCTAAGTAATGATAGCTGGTACTGCTTGAAATAATGGCTTTAATTTTGGACAACACTGAGCATACCACCAATGCCTTATAATCTGCTTCAATTGAATCAATTGCACAGTAATTCCAGCAGCCCCCATGAACAAGTTCCATACCTTAGAGGCAGTAGGACTTGTGACAAATATATGCTCAATGGATTCCTCTTGGGGCTGCTGACAACACCAACACCTAGACATCACCATTTGTCCTTGCCTCCTCCACATGTCATCAGTGGCTATTTTCTGCCTCCACAATCTCCACAAGAAGAAGTATATCTTGAATGGAAAACCTTTAATCCACATTAACTTGAATTCCTAATTAGGATCAGCCCTATGCCTTAATATTCTCCAAGCACTGCTAACACTGAACTTGCCTGAAGGAGTTGGCATCCAGTATGGCCTATTCCAATATCCCTCACTACCTTTATAATGCACATTTAGCCTTATATGTTCTGCAATTTCTTCATTGAAAGTTTGATCTAGCAGCTGATCATCCCATGTTTCCCCTTGCCGCAATTCTGCCACCTCTTGAAGATCTTCATTGATTGGACCCTCCCCTAAAATGCACCATTGTTGGTAGCTCCTTCTTGCAATACTTATTCTACATGAAATTAGACCACAAAGATTTTGTGGTCCTAAACCTCCACCATAGTTTAACAAATAGTTCCCTTGAGACATCATGTAAGGACCTAAAACCTAGGCCCCCTTCCTCTTTAGGAAGGCAAAGATTTTGCCATGAAGCCCAGTGTCTGCTTCTCCCTTCTTCCTTTGTGCTCCAAAAGAACCTAGCAAAAGTCTTATGTAGATGCTCCAGGATGTTGTTTGGTGGATCAAGGACTGATAACATATGAACTGGCATACTTTACAACACACTAGAGATGAGTGTTGCCTTTCCTCCAAATGACAACAGTTTTCCTTTCCATGAATGCAATTTAGCCTTCACCTTCTTGATAAGATCCTCATAATAGTCCTTCCTCCTTCTAGTGTAAAAAATAGGACACCCTATATATGTGAAGGGGAATTTAGCTCTTGCAAATCCTGTAATAGCTCCAACTGCCTGAAATAATCCATTAGCAACCTTTGAATGCATGTAGTATGAACTCTTATCTTTGTTGATCATCTGACCTGATATCTTCTCATAGTTCCCCCAACACTGCCATAATCTTTCTCAAGGAGGGAGAATGAGAAAATGCATAGATTATCGTATCATTAGCATATGCCAAGTGGTTTAAAGGATCAAACCACTTAGGTATTCCAAATCCCACAAATAACTTGTCTTCAAAGAGCTTATTCAAAGACCTGGAAAGTACCTCAGCTGACAGAATGAACAATGCTAGAGATAGGAGATCCCCTTGTTTCACACCCCTTGTAGACTTAAAGAACCCTGAGGACTGCCCATTCACCAATACTGAATACCAGTTATTTGACATCAAGTTCCACACCATGTTGATGAAGTGCTCAGAAAATCCCATCTTCCTTAGCACATGCAATAAGTACTTCCATGAAACCCTATCTTAGGCCTTAGCCATATCAAGCTTGATCACCACATTAGCTGGCTTTACCCTTAACCTTATGTCAGTGACAATTTCTTGAGTAAATAAAATGTTCTTAAATATACTCCTACCCTTTACAAATCTGGATTGATTAGGGGATATTAGAGATGGCAGAAAACTCTCCAATCTGTCATGTAACACCCTAGACAAGACCTTGTTAATGAAGTTGCTCAAACTAATAGGTCTTAAGTCAGAGAAGGTCTCAACTACAGGTTTCTTGGGCAACAACACTAGATTGGTGTGAGTGATGGATTTAGGCAATGCAGCTCCTCCATAGAAGTGTAGCACCATGTTGTGTATATCAGCACCAATAACATCCAACATGTTTGATAAAATAGGTCAGTGAATCCATCAGGACCACTAGCACTCTCCCCACTAAGCTCAAAAACTGCGACCCTTACTTCTTCAATTGTTGGCAATCTACTAAGTTCCAAATTCGGATCCATAGTGACCATCGAAGGTACATTATTGAGCAAGGAAAATTCAGAAGCATCACCTTCATTTGTGAACTATTTTTGATAGAAGTCCACTGCATCTGTAGCCAATTGCTCCTGGTCTTCAATCCATACCCCCACTACCACTTTTGATCCTCTTCAGTTGCAATTTCTTTCTTTTGCCATTGACATGATTGTGAAAGAAACTTGTATTCCTATCTCCTTCAGCAAACCAAGTCATCTGAGCTTTTTGCTTCCAATACTGCTCCTCAATACTCAAGTATTTCGTTAATTCAGATTGAGCCTTTTGAAGCACAATCCTATTCTCAGTTATAGGCTCTTCTTCAAAAAACATCTCCTTCACCTGAACAATGTCCTCCAAAATAGCCAATTACTTGCAGATATCACCAAATATTTCCCTACTCTATTTTGAAAGTACTGCCTTCACCCTCTTGATATTCTTCTTGAACATCAAAAACGGATCCCCTATGAAATCAGCTTCCCAATTCTGCCTCACCACATCCATAAATGTAGTATGCTTTGTCCAAAAGTTCAATAACCTGAAAGGCTTGGCAAAATTGGTTGTCTGCACCCCACATGTCATTAGCAATGGTGCATGATCTGATCCAATTCTGATTTGATGCTCAACTTCAATAGTTGGCAACATGTTCTGAAATGGAAAATTCACAAAAGTCCTATTCAATCTCTTGAATATACACTCAACATTGGATCTCCCATTCCACCATGTAAATGGACTTCCTTTGTACCCTTTCTTAAGCAAACCACAAGAGTTTACACAAAATGCAAAATCCTCATATTCAGTAGGGTGTACTGGAAGTCTCCCTATTTTCTCATCTTCATGCAATACCACATTGAAATCCCCTCCTACCAACCATGATAATTCCATATCACTTGCTAAGTAATACAAGTGATCCCACAATTCCAACCTCTTCATTGCTGAACATTTTGCATAAACAAATGCCATCATCATGTGCTGCCCTAGGTCATGGTGAAACACTCTCACAGTCACATGTTGCTCAGTATCCTCCACTAATTCTCATTCCACCACTGCATCGAAGAACAACCATATTTGCCCATTAATAATTGCATAAGCAGTCTCTATATTCAACCTCCTTCTATATCTATCAATGAGTCCCTTCTTTTGAAAAGGCTTCATCAATGCAACTACACAAAAATTATGCTCCCTATTCATGTTGATCACCCTAGGAAAGGCATGTTGTGTATTCACAGACCTTATGTTCCACATTAATGTTTTGATCATCATCATTTAGATAGAGAAGCTGCCCTCCTGGACATTATTCTTGAAGGTTGTGGTGGATCTTTACTCTGATTCTTCTTAGTTTTCTTACCTCCTTTAGCACTAGTTGTGGGTGATAAATCCCCTTCCCTAGCCACTTGTTTGAAGTTTTGTACAATTGATTCATCTTCTCCTTCATCCTCCATTGGATTTTATCTCAATAAGTCTTCATCAATTGGTGTCACATTGTGTGGAACAATTGCCCGCTCATCAGCCCGTTCATACTCCTTGAATTGTAGCTCATAGACACTACCTAGCCCAGGAGTTACTGTAGCAGTCTGCTCTGGATGCACTATTCTAGTGAGATCACCACCCTTCCCATTGCCTGAAATTTGGTCTGAACCCACTATATCATCCTTAATCTTCACATTAACATCTCCATCAAGTTTGTTCTTCGATGCATACACCGGAACACCATCTACATAGGCCAAAATCTCTCCAGTTGCACTAAGGTTGGGGTTTACTATAGCTGCCTCATCAGGTGAACCTGGCTTTAGGCCTGGCGTCGCCATCCTAACGCCTGGGGAACCTGGCTTTAGGCCTGGCATCGCCATCCTAATGCCTGGGGAGCCTGGCTTTAGGCCTGGCGTCGCCACCCTAACGCCTGGGGAGCCTGGCTTTAGGCCTGGCGTCGCCAGCCTATCGCCAGGTGAACTTGGCTTGTTGTCCTTCTTCACATTGTCTTCTGTTGTCTTTGTTGTGCCCATCTGATCATCCTTAACCTCAACTTCATCACTCCATAAGACCTTTGTAGAGTTTACCTCATCAAGATCCTCAATCTGCCCAGAATCATTAAATGTTTGAGATGGAATCTCATGACAAGATTGGTTTGTAGTCACATTGAGTTGTTTTAGCTCCTCATTGCTAGTCCCAAACCTTTTATGAACCCAGTCGATTGTGGATTCCTTATTAGCCCTTTCATCAGTACGTTGATCACTAGGAACACTAGAATTAGCCTTAGCTAATTCTTGATCATCTTTAGGAACTGAAGATTGAATCCTAGAAGGAATAGAGTTACCATTATGCTCATTTTCCACCACCTTCTCGACTGCTTCCTTATTCACACGCTTATGTTCCTATTGAGTATTGACTTCCTTTTCCTTTTCTTGGCTCTTCTTAGCTTGCTTTTCCCCATGTTCCTTCTTCTTACCATTGCTATGATCCTCACCTTTGCCTTCAGTAATTTGTAGAGTAGGCTGATGAACTTCCTCAACCTCTAGTGCATTAAACTTGTTCTTGGTTGCAACTTCCTCAACTTTGGCCTTCCCTTTACCCTTGTCAGCTTCCTTTCCTTGTTTGTTATCAACAATGTGACCCCTATTATCTCGTTGGTATTTGTTCTTCCTTGCTTGCATCCATTCCTGCTTGATCATGATTAGTAGTAGGCTTACCAACCATCTTTCCACTAGTTAGGACCTTTGTTGAATTTGCAGCAGTCCCAATTGTATCAGAACTCACCACAACTGCCTTCTCCTTTCTTTGTTCCTCAACACCATCTTCAAATCTCTTGTGTAATTCAGGATGAATTACCCAGCATTCTACCTCATTATGCCCCTGGTTTTTGCAAGGCTTGCAATATTTTGGCATATAATCATATTTAATCCTGATCCACTTAAACTCTTCTGGTCCAGATTCACCAGCTTCTTCCACAATCTTAATACGATGAGGGAACTTACTTAACAAGTTAACTTCCACCTTAACCTTAGCACAACTAGGTCAAGTCCACAATCTTGTTCGCGCACTATTCACTGCTACGGTGACGGCGGAATTTTGAGAGCAAAATTCTAGAGAGAGAAATTTTTGGTTACAATTAGGGATTTTCCCCAAGGTCAAAAGTAGTTCAAACATTTGACCTAAATATTATTTTTTTTCTTTGTCTTTTTCTTCTTCTTTTTTTTCATTTTTTTCTTTCTTTCTTCTTTTTTCTTTTTGTTTTCAAAACAAGTTGCCCAGCTTTCTTGGGGCATGGACTTTGACTGCTCTTTCTTCTTCTTTTTTTCACTTGAACTTTCTAAGAGTTGCCCCAGTTTGTACTCTTGGGGCATGGATTTTATTTTTCATTTCATTTTTTTTACTTTTGACTCTGAACTTGATTCCAAAAGAGGGTGGTTAAAGAAAAATAACACATGCTCAAAAGGGGTACAAAGGGTATAATGTGTTTGGATAGCAGAAAAAGGGCCACCCAGCCTCGAGAATACCAAACATAGTATCCTTTCGTGATCACAACATTGATGAATATGTCTGTCTTCGTAGTATGCCGTGGTCGAAAGACACTTACCCTTCATTAATGTCAAAATTTTTACCAAACTTCAATTAATTCTTCCTCAAACCCGATCTTCACAATGATTTGAAGGTAAAGATCATTAACCCCACGGGTATGACTATTCTAGTTCCACATGAATTTTGCTCAAGCTTAATTCCAAAGTGTTTTCTATTCTTTATTCATTCTCAAAAGTATCTTGTTCTCAGTTATTCAGTTCAAGACTAAATCAGTTTTCTAAGATCTGGCCAAAAACTACGCATGCATGTCATGTCACTAGAACTAGCAGAAAAAGAATTAAGTACAGAATGACACAAAAGGAAAAATTGTATTTCATTGAGTAAAGGATGGAAAGGTTTAACAATAAGACAAACAATCTAAAATTCGAGTTACGACCCTAAAATAACCCGGATAATGAAAATAGCAACAGAACAGACAGACAAGACTCATACAAACAAAATAGAGGGATAGAAGGGTTTGACTCAATAAAACAAATAAAATCTGGATTACAACCCTGAAATAACCCAGATAATAGAAAAAATATCAAAACAAGCTACCAATATTCCTTCCTAGTGAGGAAGGAATGCCTTTTCAATTGCTAAGCTTGACATTTAGCACAAAATTGCTCATCAGAATCACCAGGGCCTTCTCCAATTTCAATATCATTAACTTCAGTCAGCAAGTTCCCGAGAGGATTCTGATACTCCCTGTCACCACGTATTATCTCCACAAAGTGTGCATCACTATATGCAGGTAATGAATTCTGCGCGATATTCTGAGTGTCACTGTCTTGGATCACAATCAGGTTTTCCTGGATCATCCTTTCTATTTCTCTTTTCAAATCCCGACAACTTTCAATATTGTGCCCCTAGGCATTGGAATGGTATTCACACCTTTTAGAAGGGTCAAAGTTTCTTGCACGTGGGTCCACATGATTTGGAGGAATAGGTGCAATCATGTCATAATGCTTTAATTTCTCAAACAAGCTTGCATAGGACTCTCCTATTGGTGTAAAATTATCTTTCATCCTTTGTTCCCCTCTATACCCCTGGCTTGGATGTGGGTTATATGGCACTTGAAAATTTTGTGGAGGCGGGTGGAGATTTTGCGGTGCTGGTGCTCGCCTTCTAGGTGTCTTGGCGGCTGGACGACATACTGAGATGGAGCAATAGAGTATTGTGGGTTCTGAGGTAGATAGTAGTGCTCAAAGGAATCATCGAAAACCAAAAGAGGCTGGTCAAACCTTCGAGATGTTCTCCTAGGACCTCTTCTCGACCCTGATGTCATCATGGTTTCTTCATCCTTCTCATTCATGTCACTAAAATTAACAGATTCAATCTGGACAGCCTGAGTTGCGGCTTTGAGAACCGCTTGACTTATAGTTCTACCTGTCTTAAGGCCATTCTCAACCATTTCCCCAATTTTGATTGCTTCCGAGAAGGATTTGCCAACTGCGGACATCATGTTTTGAAAATAATCTGGCTCTTGAGCCTGAAAGAAGACAGTGATTAGCTCATGGTCATCCATTGGTGGCTTAACTCTAGCCACTTGCTCTCTCCATTTAATGGCATATTCCCTGAAACTTTCAGTTGGTTTCTTCTTCAGGTTGGAGAGGGAATTGCGGCCTGGGATGATGTCGATGTTGTATTGGAACTGTTTGACAAAGACATGGGCCATGTCATCCTAGAAATACCAGTGAGATGTGTCTTGATCCATAAACCATTCGGAGGCTACTCCCGCAAGACTTTCCCCAAAATAAGCCATCAATAATTTTTCCTTTCCTCCCACACCTCTTAGTTGATTGCAATACCTTTTCAGATGGGCTATGGGGCCTCCATGTCCATCATACTTTTCAAATTTGGGAGTCTTGAAACCAAGTTGCAAACGAACATCGGGGAACATATATAGATCCTTGAAGGCGATACTCTTCTGACCTTCCAACCCTTGTATGTTTTTCAGCTGTTATTCTAAGCTTTTCATTCTTTGGGTCATTTCTTCCTGTGCCATCTTTCAGGCAGGCTTCTCAATATTTGCAGGAAGATCAAATAGGTACGAGTGGTACTCAGGAGAATGGTATTGTTCTTGCTAGGTAGCAAATTGTGACTTATGAGTTTTCTTTTGCACCACCGTCGGTTATGGGATGGTGAAGACGGGCATAACAGTAGTGGTTATCTGATTGGTTGTCAATGGCACACTTTGGGAGCGCACAACAAAAGTTCCAGCTGTAGTCATACAGTTGGGATAAAGACTGAACCCAGGTGGATAGGGTTGATAGGGCAATGAGACCGGAATGGTAGTAGTCGAAATGGATGTGAACTCTGGAAAACCATGAATAGAAAAAGGAGATCCTTGGACATTGGCCCATGCTTGACACATTTCGGTCATTTGCTGCTTCAGTGCGCTATTT